AAGTCAAGGATTTAAGAGGGACAAATCTAGGCCTATTAATTGAGTGAATTTGAGCCGAACATAAAAAATTTTAATAAAACATTTCTGAAAAAGGGGTACATGGCAACACGTATTCTCGGTGCCGAGGTAACACTTTGATTCTAATGAAGACATGTGTCCTCAGCACTGAGGGCACGTCTGTTCTGAGAAAGACGCATGTTCTCGGCTCCGAAGACGTGTGTTGATCTGCCACAAGTACTTGTGCTCAGCGTTGAGGTACTCCCCCTCTCTATGGTAGACATGTGCCCTCTATTTCAAAGGTATCTCCACTCTGAGGGAGCCAAGTGTCCTCGCCTCCAAGGGTACTCACTGAAACTCTGATCTGGCCACGAGTCTTTGGCTTCTGAAAAGGCTATTGATTTGAAGCTGAACAGTCTAAATTAGAATAACAATCACGAGAGCACTCTGCACAATGAAGTCAGAATAGCAGAATGAACTGGACACTCAACCAAGGGGAGTCGGATGCGTGGCATAAAGTGCAGGATGAGGGGTAAATAGACAAAACTACCCCTGTTGACTTACGACTATCCCAAACAAGCATTTAATGAATCCTCAGTGATAGGACATCCACAGAAGCTTAGGACGCCGAGAATATGGAGTATTAAATGCTCTGGGCTCCGAGAATTTAAAGTCTTTACATCGAAGAAAGAGCATTAAATACTCGGGAGCCCAAGCAATAAAAAATGAGGTCTCCCCCACGCAAAATAGGAGTCACACTGTCCTATGTCTGGGTACTACCTACTGACTAGGCTACCAATAATGATGAGCCTTTGGGGATATAAATAGTTCCCAAAAATGTGAAGAAAATGTATGCAAAATCATCTCTTAAGAACTATACAGTGTTTCCTTGTTCCCCTCTCTCAAAGAACTGATTTAATCGTCTGAGGGGATATGTCAAAAAATATTCCGGTGCCCTTCTAACTTATTTTTTGTATGCTAGGAACAATCTGTAACCCATCGAGATCGATCAAATAGCCCCTGAAGCAATTCATCATTACTCCTTAGACCTCATTTGGTCTTCTTAACTTGTTCCTTGTTACAAGATCAACCACTTTCTCGAGGAACACGAGATCACAAAGAGAGAGATCTATCTTTTTCATCTATTGTGCAAAAATCACTGCACACAAGCTTGTTTCTTAATTGAGTTTAAAAAATTGTTCAAGTTCAGCTTGTTTAGAAAACGAGTCGAGCCTGAACAAGTCAAAAATAAGTGGAGCCCGAGGCGAGCCTAAATATTTGTACATAAACAAGTCGAGTCTATCGAATTTTAACCGAGCTTATAAAGCTTGTTTTCTAAACAAGTTTAAAAACTTATTCAAGTTTGGACTCGTTTAAAAAACGAATCAAGTCTGAACGAGCCGAATCTAAGTTGAACTCAAGTCAAATTCGAGTAACTCAATTTGATTAACCTAGACAAATCCAAACATTAACTTCTAAGAGGTGCACAAATCCTTTTGACTTGCCTCCTCTCTTATATTTGGCCTCAATTCTGTCAAAAGAGACCACTACGCATAACTGAGCTGCTATAATAATTTCATAAATATCTAGTGAAGATATGAGAAACAAATAAAATATTCCTATGTTTTGATTTGACAATACCATACTATAAGTCTATAATCAAAAGGTACAATAGCCTGAGTAATCATACTTAACATAAAAGCTATCGGATCCATTCTAAAAAGGGATAAATTAGTACAATTTGGTGAAAATAGTTTTTTTTTAGAATCAATTTCAAACTATTTGCTCTAACCAGAACACAATATACCTTAATATTTGATTGATTTATTTGTAGTCATTGATTATGATTGTACTAACAAAATAAGAGAAATTTACATGTGTAATTTTCTAATTGGTTGAAACAAAAAATAATTTTTTTTAGCACCATAACTGGATCATATATGTAAATTTTTGTGTGTATTTAGAGGTTGACTATTTCTAATTTTGAACATCCCCAAAAAATGGGCTACAACATGCAATTAGAGCACCAAGTCAACCATGGTGAATAAGTCAAGATGAAGCCCAACTTTTAGTTCTTCAATAAATTCCAATGCAGTTGATAGTTTATTTTGTTAACACAAACATACATTACATAGTCACCCATCCAAAACCCTCTCTGTCCTCACTCAGTTCACCCCCCAACCCCTCCTCCAACAAAATAACCCGGAGAATGGTGCCCACATCTCCCTTTCTCTTTCCACGTGTCAACGTCCCACCGTTCCCTGGAAATAGCCGTTTATAATATCCAACGGTCACTCTCGGCCGGCCTTTTTACGTTACTATACGTTACCAACGGTCAGTCCCTAACGTCTTGATTTCTATACGTTGTCAACGGTCATTTTGCCTCTTCAACTATGTCTTAAACTTAAAAATAGCCCTATTATTGGAATTTAATTTATTTTAATCTTTAAATTAAAAGTGAGCTTTATTAAATAGTAAAATTTTATATTTTTTAATAATTTTAATAAAATTACATTATTATATCATCGATTTTTTGGTCTAATGACACTATTTATTTTTGTAAAAATTTTATTTTTTTAAGATTAAAGGTTTAAGTCCTCATCTCTCTCTCTCTCCAAAAAAGAAAAAAAAAATCATTAGATTGACAAATTTATGTTAAATATTTAAATTTAAATAACATTATNAAAAAAATCTTCGGCTTATCAAGAACAGCTACAGATGATTTTGAAATATGTTGAGGAACATACGCAGCGGATATCATTGAATGTTGATGTTGTATTTAACAATGTGAGAGAACTTGAATCCGAAGAGCAAGACGATCTGGACTCTGACTAGAATGAATGATTTTTTTGAACCATTTCTGTTCTTGATAATTAATCAGCTGTGCTTCTCGTTTCTTCCTACTTTATATTATCATTTTGACTTCTAAGGTTCATATTGTTCAGCTTGTTTGCCACTGAGGGTTGGCAAATACCAGTATTGTTGTCTTTTGGAAGTCATTTCCTATCCAACAAAGGCAGGCCTATTCTTCTGAAACGAGAAGTTATGATAATTCAAAAATAGGTTAAATATAAGTGTGAACAGTATTTTTTGTCCTTAAAGTATACCAGTTTAGTCTTCGTTGTATTTATTTTATTAATTTAGCCGCTAAAGTTTCGATTTGGTAATGATCATAATCAATTCATTGGAAGTTGGAAAAACAAGCTGATGGCAAAAAGCTTTGATGAACATTTATTGGATAAAATTTATCTATCCGACCACGAGTAGCAGAAACAAATTTTAAGCATCAGTTTCAAAAACCAAAGTGACATCAAGAACGCAGAGTATATCATTCCAAATTTTCAGTCCACAAACATATGACTTAGTGATGGGACTCTTCTGAAAAAGCCTATGATGAAGACACGTGTCCTCGGGGATTTCTAGAACAATGTTGCTCGGGGTTCAAGCACCATCGGCAAAGCTCCCTCTCCCCGAGGTACATCTCATATAGGATCACATATTCGGTACAGTATACAAATACATGTGTCCTCGGGCGCCATGTACCTCGGGAACACACCACCCTTGGTCCCCCCGAGGTCAGTCTTTCCTCGGCACCGAGGGTCACTCCATCCTGGACGCTTCCTCTACTCCCGGATGAAGCTACTGACAAAACTGGACATCAGCCTATGCCAGTATGGACTAGTCATCATGATCTCTTCTTACACAAGAAATGTCAGAACATGCTGGGATACAGAAGTCGTAGCCAATACGTGACGGACGCGTGGCATATGATGTCACATCAAAAACAGGCAAACCGCACGCTATTGCTGACATGCGCTTTGGGAAGCAAACAATTAATTGCACCCTTNTTGTAAATTTTTGTGTGTATGTAGAGGTTGACTATTTCTAATTTTGAACATCCCCAAAAAATGGGCTACAACATGCAATTAGAGCACCAAGTCAACCATGATGAATAAGTCGAGATGAAGCCCAACTTTTAGTTCTTCAATAAATTCCAATGCAGTTGATAGTTTATTTTGTTAACACAAACATACATTACATAGTCACCCATCCAAAACCCTCTCTGTCCTCATTCAGTTCACCCCCCAACCCCTCCTCCAACAAAATAACCCGGAGAATGGTGCCCACATCTCCCTTTCTCTTTCCACGTGTCAACGTCCCACCGTTCCCTGGAAATAGCCGTTTATAATATCCAACGGTCACTCTCGGCCGGCCTTTTTACGTTACTATACGTTACCAACGGTCAGTCCCTAACGTCTTGATTTCTATACGTTGTCAACGGTCATTTTGCCTCTTCAACTATGTCTTAAACTTAAAAATAGCCCTATTATTGGAATTTAATTTATTAATTTAATTTATTTTAATCTTTAAATTAAAAGTGAGCTTTATTAAATAGTAAAATTTTATAGTTTTTAATAATTTTAATAAAATTACATCATTATATCATCGATTCTTTGGTCTAATGACACTATTTATTTTTGTAAAATTTTTTTTTTTTAAGATTAAAGGTTTAAGTCCTCGTCTCTCTCTCTCCAAAAAAGAAAAAAATCATTAGATTGACAAATTTATGTTAAATATTTAAATTTAAATAACATTATTATTTCTTAAAAATAAGTAATATTATTGCAATCTAATTTGTTGAAATAATTTATTATAATATTTGGATTAACTATGATCCCATCAAAAATTAGAATTTAATATTGATCCAATAATTTTAATAAAATAATATCATTACATTAATAAAAAAAAATTAAAATTTTAGACCTAAATATGCTTAAAAATACACACACCATTCCCCGATCCCAAGCAACGATTATAAGGAACGAGTCGTTCAAAACACACTATCCCATAAAATAAGGTCCATAACTACAACACGCTCATACGCGTAAACAGGTCCATCCAAGAGCTCCATAAATGACCCCCTCTATCTTGTGATCCTTCGCTTCTCTCTCTCTCTCTCTCTCTCTCTCTTATTGAGCATCCAAGTTTTTCTCCACAAAACAATGCCAACCATTTTGTTGAGAATTTTCCTCCTCTACAACCTATTTAATTCACTCATCCTCATCTTGGTTCCCAAGAAGCTTAGAATCTACCTCCCCCCTTCTTGGTACCCACAAAAAATCACTCTTGTGGACACCAAACCTCTCCTCTCATCGTCTCCTTCTTCGTGTTTTCCTTTGTTGCCACCCTCACCGTTGGCTCGGATTCCACGTAAAATGGACTCAGACGAGCTTAGACGGGTCTTTCAAATTTTTGATAGAAACGAGGATGGCCGGATCACGAAGAAGGAACTGAACGACTCATTGGAGAATATGGGTATCTTCATCCCTGATAAAGAACTCACCCAAATGATCGAGAGAATCGACGTTAATGGAGACGGGTGTGTGGATATTGATGAATTTGGGGTATTATACCAATCAATAATGGTGGAGCGAGACGAGGATGAGGATATGAAGGAGGCTTTCAATGTGTTTGATCAAAATGGTGATGGGTTAATCAGCGTGGATGAGTTGAAATCGGTTTTGTCATCGCTCGGGATTAAGCAAGGGAGGAGTGCTGAAGATTGCAAGAGGATGATAGTGAACGTGGATGTGGATGGAGATGGAATGGTCAATTATAATGAGTTCAAGCAAATGATGGGAGGGAGTGGTCTTGCTGCTTCGAGTTAGGACATTTTTTGAAGGGGATTCAAAAGTTGTATATATAAATATATATTTGTTTTTCAGAAAAAGATCACATAGTGTGTGCTTTTTTTTGTGTGTGTGGTTATATTAACTGGTGAGAAATGAAAGAGTATTGTGTATTGATCATTTAAGATCTGGAAACTGTCTTGTTCATCTCTCCAGCAGTGAGTACACTATTCAGATCTGAACAGTACGTGAAGGTTACTGCCAAAATTATAAGTTATATTTTAACCCTTCCAAAACTATACATTTTTCATTTTGTACTGTTCTTTAATTATCATGTTTCTGGTAGGGGCGGAGCCACATGTTCTCTGTATTGGGGCAATCGCCAGATCAAATAGAACAATTGAATGAAAATCATCAANTATGGACCCGAACTAGGGTGCCCATGGTGGATTGACCCAAATTAAAGAATGTCCAAAGGGACATGTCTTTTAAAGGTATTATTTATCATCCAAAATACTTGTTTGTTAAATATTAACAGACATGTCCCTATAAAATATGTCTCTTAGTGATCCCCATTGTTTGCCTATATAAACCCAAGACAATCCAATAGATGTGAATCTTTGATAATTGATTTAACGTTAAAACTTTCCTACTCTCTTCTCTCTCTGCCTACATAAAATTTGTAAGGCTTTTGTGTTGTGAAAAACCTGGTGTTGATTTGTCTTATGTAACAACACCATACTGCTCGAGCAATTAAAGAAAAAACGTTGATTTGNACAATTGAATGAAAATCATCAAAACTCGTAACGTAGTGAATGGACCATCATCGCTAACGTGATTTGCATTCAATCTAAAAGACTCCAATTCGAAATTGCTTTGATTCTCTGCCGAATTTTATTTTTAGAGTGCATATCTAAATAAGCTAAATATTAAAAAATCAATCGACTCTATATGTCAATTAAAATTAGATTTTAATAGTGACGAGTTTAGATTTAAACCAGGTCTGGACCTGTTCATGAGTTGAGCATAAATCATCAAAAGGCAGGTCAAGTTCAGCTAATGACCTTAGTTTAATATAAAACTCAAGAGTCCAGAAAGATCAACACACGTAAGGAGTAAAAAGATAGTCATTACTCGAAGATAGCAAATATTCTTAATTGTAACTATTAGGCCTGACAATTTTAAGCACAACTCATGAAATCGATACAAATTCGACACGGATTTAATAGGTTTAGGTGTAGTTTTAACGGGTTCGAGTGGTTAACAGATTAACTCGACAGACCCGCGAAATAAACGAACTGGTTTCGTGTTTAACCCATAAAATCGTTTTAACCCATTTAACCTGTTAACAATAGTACTATAAATTCTTTTTAAAAAAAATTAAGTTTCTCAACCTTTGTCTCATCTCACACCTTTCATCTCTCAAACTCATTCAAATTTAATAGTAATTTAATGTTTATTTCTTGTTTTTATTTTTTTGCTCAGTTATGATTTGTTGTTGTAGTAAACATGTTGTGTGGCGAGTTGATAATAAACATGTGTCGAATGAAACATTTTTTGTGTAATGTGTGGCGAGTTGATAATTTTCCGTGTGGATTCGAAATACTCTAAACATATTCTCTTATTTAGCAGGTGACACACAGATTGTATTAGATAATACGTCTAATAAACGATTTGTGTATGAGTGTGATAGTTTGACTCGTTTATATAAACGAATGGGTTATAGATGAAGAATTTTTTAACACATGTCTGTTTCACTTGACACAAAATCGTTTCATTCGACACGATTGTCAAACCTAGCAACTATCCTCCCAAAAAGACTAGTAGCTTAACCTTCACGTTATCGTCTTAACTAGGATTCTGCGCCTATAAATTGTAAATTCTTTACACATAAGAGACACACAACTATATCTCACCACTCCTTGAGATTGCTCATGCTCTCTCTCTCTCTCACGTACTATTTTATTCTCTTTTTAATAAAGTTCTCTAGCCATAGTCGTTACCTTCCGTGGTTAGGTGACCCAAACCTAACCACCAAATCTTTGTCTTTTTATTGATTGTTTCATTAATAACTTTACACCACACACTCGACTGATTTAATTTTGTATAAAGCCACTTTTGTGCATCATCAAATAAATTACATCGTAATTTTCAATTAAGTTTCACTGAATAACACTCGGTCTCATCATATATCTATACATATGGTAGATATATCAATCAAATTGAATCACAATCATATCGAATTGTGGTAAGTCCAAATTTAAATTCGTGAAAATTATGCAACCAATTCGAACTAAATAGTATGTCAAAAATGTAAATTTGTTCTCACTAATCATATTCAGATTCAAATGGATTCATATCAAAATTTGATCTATGCACAACACTCAATTTTGGATGTGTTAGATATTGGTTGGGCTATGGACCCGAACTAGGGTGCCCATGGTGGATTAACCCAAATTAAAGAATGTCCAAAGAGACATGTCTTTTAAAGGTTTTATTTATCATCCAAAATACTTGTTTGTTAAATATTAACAGACATGTCCCTATAAAATATGTCTCTTAGTGACCCCCATTGGTTGCCTATATAAACCCAAGACAATCCAATAGATGTGAATCTTTGATAATTGATTTAANTCTGCATAAGTGACCTGAGCAAGAGAACCAAGAAGTGTCAAAAACAAACAAACAAGAATTATTGACTAATTAAAAAAAAAAAAGGCATCTAGACATCTGGACCTTCTTAGTTTGCATATTGTACATACTTTGTGCTTTTGGTTTCTTTGTGGGATCCATTACTTTTGGCCATTTGCTTTCATGTACTGCCATTGTATGTGTGGTTTAACCGAATGGTACATATGGTTTAAAAGCAAAAATGAGAACAATTGAAATTGTTCTGGCCAGTAGCGAAAGGAACCAAAGTTGTAGCATGATGTACATTGACCAGTTGCATTAAAATTTAAAGTAATTTACATATTATTTTTGGCTTGGGTTTTAGTGCATATGACTCTTGAATTAGTATTATCAATGCTTTAATTATTTAAAGTTCTTAGAAAAAAAAATGAGATAAATGAATTTTTTTTCTTTCTATCTAGCCTATTGATATGTATAGAAAAATATTAGCATGCTTGTTATGCTAGTTGCATTCATTTCATTGTTTAGCGCAATTAAAATTAGAATTTCATATCTAGTATTATTTAAATTGCATATTTTTTTTTATTTAAAGTGGAAACATGTATGATATAAAATTACAGATGATCAGTATGCCTAGAGATACTAGATCTAGTGGGAGTCTTAGGAGACTGCAATTAAGTGTTATTAATAATCACTTGTGGTATAGGAGACGATTGAAAACTTAGTGAACTTTCGATCTCGTGACTTGTGAAAGTTGTTAATGCTTGAATTTAGATTTTTGTAGCAAAATTCTAGAATGTGTTGTGCTAATATCCCATATGCATTGTCTCTGCATGAAAATTAAATCATAATGACTACTAAAAGCATAGTGGCTGAATTAACTAAGGGGACAAATTGAACGATTATAACTATGACATATGACGTCGTAAGATTCAATTTGTCCTGTATGAGCAACAAGTCTTGGATACCCTTGACTCTGTGCTGACAGAGCCTAAGTGACCTCAAACCTGCCAAGAACAAGAGAATTATCAGTTTTTGCAGAATAAGGATCGACTTGTGTGCTATACCATGCAAGTGAGCATGCAAGATGATCTTATTCCTGAATTTGAGAAATACTCCACAGCTCATGCCATGTGGAAGGCCCTCAAAGAGAAGTTTGGTATTACTTCTCTTGTTAGACTTCGTGGTTTGACCATGAGGTTTGACTAGTATCAAAAGAAGTCAGAACATACAATGAAAGAACATATGAGGGCTATGACCTCTATGATACGTGATTTAGGCATTGCTGGTCATGTGTTGACCAATGAACAACAAGTTCAAGCTATACCTCGCTCCTTTCCACCATTGTGGGAGCATATGAAACGAAACATGACACATAATGAGAGTCTGAAAACATTCAAGAATGTATCGCCATCACCTTGAACTTGAGGCTGAGCGCTTGGAGGCAACCAAATGTGAGTGTAGGTCTTATGTGGCTAAAGTTGGCTCACGTAAGACCTTCGAGTCCAAGCACAATCGCGGTGGAAATAGGTCTGATGCTTAACTTGGGGTTGGTCACTCTAGTTATAACAAGCACAAACAGGGTAAAAGAGCTAGTGTGATGCTCCAAAAATTGGGGGTTTTTTGTCAACCTATTGATCACCCATCAACTCGCAGAATATTTGTGGATACTGTGTAACTCGATATCACGCTGTTATGTCCCATTTATTGAGATCCATAATTTAACGAAATTCGGGCAAAGTCTTCATTGTTCGAGGAGCTCTACCCAAAACATAACCTGTGCAATTATACAACATTGACCACACCGGGTCCATTTATCCATACTTGTAACACCCCTAAAACTGNTCTGCATGAAGATTAAATCATAATGACTACTAAAAGCATAGTGACTGAATTAACTAAGGGGACAAATTGAACGATTATAACTATGACATATGATGTCGTAAGATTCAATTTGTCCTGTATGAGCAACAAGTCTTGGATACCCTTGACTCTGTGCTGACAGAGCCTAAGTGACCTCAAACCTGCCAAGAACAAGAGAATTATCAGTTTTTGCAGAATAAGGATCGACTTGTGTGCTATACCATGCAAGTGAGCATGCAAGATGATCTTATTCCTGAATTTGAGAAATACTCCACAGCTCATGCCATGTGGAAGGCCCTCAAAGAGAAGTTTGGTATTACTTCTCTTGTTAGACTTCGTGGTTTGACCATGAGGTTTGACTAGTATCAAAAGAAGTCAGAACATACAATGAAAGAACATATGAGGGCTATGACCTCTATGATACGTGATTTAGGCATTGCTGGTCATGTGTTGACCAATGAACAACAAGTTCAAGCTATACCTCGCTCCTTTCCACCATTGTGGGAGCATATGAAACGAAACATGACACATAATGAGAGT